GTAATGTTGCTACTGTTATGAATCATAATGTAAATATCTGATATGCAAGATGGTCTTAGGCGACCCCTGTATAAGGGTCGTTCGACCGCCAAAGGGGTCGCGAACCACAGGTTGAGAACCGCTGCTTTAGGTGTATTGTGTGTATGGATTAATTAAGCTGATTTCATAAGAAGCTTTGGCACTCTCTGCTGGCTGTCAACATAAAGGGTTTATAATGGGAAACTTTAAATTTTTTCCACTAGAGCAACCTGCCTTTGAATTTAGCCTATTCTAAGAAGGATTTCAAATGTACACATGCAAATGACATTCCACCTCTTCCTAGGGCACATAGGAGTTAATTTCAAGACATGATTTACAGAAAAAAATAGAGTAAGAGTAGATAAAACCCAAAATTCTACTTTTGCTATAAGACTAGAACATAAAGACAAAGACATTGAGTAATGAGTGTACACTATCCATCTAACCAGAAACTCAGGATCACATCTGAATCAGCAGAATGCTAACCTAATGATTTAGGGCCAAGATGGTGTGTAGAGAGCAGCGCTGAAAAGGTTAAAACTAAGAGAGACGGCATACCTGTATTCATTGTGACCTTGGAGGGTTTGTTATTAAAGTCTTCAGTTTTCCTGTAGAAAAAAAAATTATATTTTCATTTGTTCATTAGCACGCGGAACAAAATATCATAACGTGTGACTGGTTTTTGGTGTACCTGTGAGTTAATATCTCATTATCATTAGTCTTATTTAGATCAAGGCTTAATAAGGTGGGCAGAATCTATAATTCTATTGAAGTTAAATTTCAGTTATTATTAGTTCTATGCTCATAGCCATAAACTTAAGTTTTTATTTTACGGTGACCATTAGTGGGTGAAAAGGAAGAAAATCTCTCATTTTAAAAAATTCAATTTCTCTCATATGCATTTATAACTAAAAGGTTTTGCTCTTTAAGCCTGAAGAGATCATTAGTTATAAAGCGTCACCTTTCAGAGTTTTAAAATATACCCAAGAACTTTGAAATCCAACATATTATTCAATTTATTCAATTTATTACTGGATCAATTTATTACAAGGGAATATTTAATGTATTTAATACATATTTTGAACCAATAGCCAAGGAAGATGAGATTCATCTATTTTTTTTTAAGATGCAGGAAATAAATGGTTACTACAAAACCCATTTCTGTGTCAGTATCAGATACTGTGGCTTTTCCCAGTGAAGTGTTTGATGGATAACAATTGAGATTAAGTCATTAAAAATGGTTGCAGCCTGGCTGGTGTGGCTCAGTGGTTAAGCGTCGACCTATGATCCAGGTCAGTTTGATTCCTGGTCAGGGCACATGCCCGGGTTGTGGGCTTGAACCCCAGTAGTGGGTGTGTAGGAGGCAGCTGATCAATGATTCTCTCTCTCTTCCTCTCTGAAGTCAGTTAAAAATATACATTTTAATAAAATGTTTGCAGAACAATTATTGTAGAAAAACATTGTTTAATGTTGAGTATTATTTTATGACGTATGAGATGACTTAGTTCTTTCCCTGCCATATCGTCTTAGCCCATTTTTAGAGTTTCTGACTTATCCACACCCGAAGACCAAAGAGGAGGAACATGCTCTCATAGGAAGCAAACCTTTCAAGAGCAAGAGCTCTCTGGAGATGTTTAATCCCAGCCACGCAGCCGTTGCTAATGGCTAGGGCCTACTGTTGGATGGACATGAACTTCCCAACACCACTCACTGAGTTGCCATGTGTATTAGCACTCTAACATCTGATAGTTTAAATTTTTTTTATACTTTGTGGATGAGTGGGGATTATGTTGAAATGAAATAATCTGTCATGATTTGTCAAAAAAGACTGTCGATAAATATGTTTTTCTTCAATCCGTAAAGGGCACCAAATGAACTTCTTTGGCTTTCTTGTCTGTGTGCCTGGTTCTCGCCCTCTCCACCTTCCAGAATGTTTCTCCTGTCCTCATGTGCTCCGCTCCGCTCACCATCTATCATTCTCTTCCAACATGGCCATTGCAGTTCACCTCTGTTAGAAAGCTGAGTTTTGTTCATTACTACTGTGAAATTTTAATAAAGCTAAAATGCAAACACCAGCTAACTATGATGATGATACCCATTTTCTCTCCCAGGGTGGGGAAAGAAATGGTGAAATAAAATAGCATGAAAGTAGTCATAATTAGGGAGCTATTTCTAGTCAGATTTCCAATGCTTTACTAGAGAATTACTTATTTCCAGGGACTTTAGTTTTTTTTTTTATAACATTAAGTCCCTAAATGTAACCAGTTTTCACCAGATGGTTTCATCTTCATCATTTATCTAGAGCAGTTTTACTTATATTTAGCAGCTATTGTTGGAGGGAGATTATAGCATTGTTGGAATTTCAGATTTTATTAATTTATACTTTACTATTTTGAAAATGTGTATTATTTCAAATGACTATTTAAATCTGTTTCTTTTTTTGTTTCTTATAAAAATCACACTTGGCTTATTCAGTCAATTGTTTTGGGCTATGAATTTTTGCAAATTTATTGGAAAATATATTTTGTGACAATTTTGAAACATGGACCATACTATTGATTTTTTCACAGAGCTTATACTGTGAAAGGAAGAGGCTGAATTTGCATATTGAAATAAATGGGAAAATTATACAAAGAAAAAGTAGCATAAAAATGCACCTAAAAGATATGAGGTGTAATTATGAACCAAGAGGAAGAGGATTTTACCTTTGATGATTAGACTGAATTAAATGATACCTTGGTACTCAGTGAGGACGAGGGTAATGAACATGAAGAATGAATACAATCACAGTGCTGATATCCACCCCAATTTAATCTTAGAGTTATAAGCGGAAAACAATTCAGATGCTATTCTTGTTTTGTAGTGCTTTCATATCACCCAATTGTTTTCACTGTTATATGGAACCGAACACACGATTTTACAGTGGAGTTCACAATAAGATTTCATAGGCCAATTGATGTTAAAATGCGATAGGGGGAAACTTATCTCTTATATTTCAGAGCGTACAAATGAACAGCTCCTCCCCCATTCCCCCCTCCCCCCAGCTTCCTCAGAATGCACAGACAAATATGCCACATCACCAAGAAGCTCTGCTGGTAGCCTGCACACCACCGGTGTTGAAGAGACAGAGGCCAGTGAACCGGGAGGAGGCAGTGGTCAATGCAGGAGGCTTGAGAAAGCTCTGTCAAACTATTTATTTTACTCTCTCAGTAGCAAAACTCCTAATATGTTAACCTTAAATGGAGAAAATAAATGGAAAGGAAAACCCTCAGGGGATGTCTGGGACCGAGGCTAAAACAAGAAGGGATAAACATTCTCCAGAAATTGAGGACTGCAAGGACATTCCCCAAATTCTCTTCTCACTCCTTTCCAAGAACACTTTATGTTTAAAACTGTTTTAAGTTTTAAAACTGAATGACAAGAGAGGGCTTGGACTGGAACACTACTGATTCGTGAAATATTAAATCTGTCTCAAAGGTTGGGCTCTCAGAGTCCAACACCTACCAATAAACCAGAATAGTGCTTTTTATTTTATTTTTTAAAATATATTTTATTGATTTTTTACAGAGAGGAAGGGAGAGAGAGAGAGAGTTAGAAACATCGATGAGAGAGAAACATCGATCAGCTGCCTCCTGCACATCTTCCACTGGGGATGTGCCCGCAACCCAGGTACATCCCCCCGACCGGAATCGAACCTGGGACCTTCCAGTCCGCAGGCCAATGCTCTATCCACTGAGCCAAACCGGTTTCGGCGAGAATAGTGCTTTTTATAGTGAGTTAGAGAACGGATTGTCAAAATTTGTGGTTTGAATTCAACTGCATATATTTACAAAATATCTGACACTCCAAAAGTAAAATCGGATTAGCAGAAACAAAGAGAGGCGCCACAAATCCTTGAGCGTTTCACCTTTAAAGTGATGTATCCTGTTACTTAAAAATGAAATTTGTGAGGTTTTTCGACTTCACACTGTTGTACATGTCAACATGTGAAATGACTAACTTCCTAATCAGGCAAGATGTTTTCCAAGTTGTTAAGAGCCGAGTGATGGAGTCCCCGTCCCCCCCTCGTCCCCCCAGAACCTGAAACCCAAAAGCTTCTTGGGTGACTAATAAAAATGCATGATTCCATTTCCATTATTTGCACAAAAGCCATTAACAAATCCATGACTGAGAACTCTCTTTAGACAGTCTAAACTGAAGCGGATCTAATCCCTTTTGTTCTGTTCTGAAAGTGTGTCTTTGATAGGACTTATATAACAAGCATGGCTTATTCTGGAAAGCATCAAATTCCTGGAGTGTTTGCGTGCTACCAAAAGAGACAGTATTTCAAGTATTTCCTTAAATTGGAATTGAACCAGGGCCAAGGCAGTGAGAACTGACGGGAAAATGCAGATTGCCTTAAACCTCAGCAGATAATCCACAGAGCAAAGAACTCTGCGCATTAGTGAGTCAAAAGGGTGGTCAGTAGGGGGTGTGGAGTTGTACTTAAATTCAGTTCTTGCCAAAGTTTCATATGAAAGGCAACTTTATAGGTATCCGAATTTATGTACAGCGATGGATTTGCTTTTTGTTTGGGTTAGAGCAGCTTCATCCCCAATAAGCATATGGCAATAGATTGTGTTGGTTGTTCATGCATGGCCACAACATCGGTCTGTGTGTACAGTCTTTTACTTCTGCTTGAATTTCTTTCAATTATCAGACATCCCATTGGATCTATGGATCAGAACAGCCTTTTATTCCCAACATGCAATGGGCAGTAGATGGGGTATTTTAACTTCTGAATGAGAGTTCTAGGAAGATGTTTGATTGTTCATACAGAGGCACCTACGTGACTGTGCCCAGGATCTTGTAATTTGGCTTGAGTTCTTTTATCAGGCATCTCATTCTGAGGGGGAGCAGAGGCGAATGCTGTCCTCAATTTGGCTGAGAATTGTGTGTCACTTTGCTTTTGTAGACTTGAATTTAGGCATCATGGCCATCTAAACAACTACAGGACTCAGTTTTAGCTCGGCTAATGCTAGAAGTTGCCCAAAAGGTTGTTCATGGAATAATTGTAATCAAATAATTGCTAGGGTTAGTTTGGAGTTAACCTCTTCACATTCATAGACAATATTATTCAGAATAAGGGGCAGAGTCTACATGGTAAGACAATACTGAGGGATGTTTGATTTTTTAGAGATCTGTTTGAAACATAAGGAAAAAATGATGCATATTAAGGTTATGCACCAGATTTAACCTGAATTTACTTTGAAATGGGATCATGCGTACCACTTTTTCTGGATGAACTACCCTGAGTGGCCAATACATTCCGCTCTCCTTCTGACTGGGGTAGGAAAAGTGCCAAATGATTTCATTATTTAATTATAGTCAAATGACTTAACGTAGGTGGATGATGTTTACTTTTACTTATCTTTTCTAATACGCTGTCAAACACGCTGCTTTGAAGTTTGCACGGGAAATACACCGAGTAGTTTATTTTTCTCTTTAGAGTCCTTGAGGTTAGAAACATAAGAATCCACCTCAACTACTCCTTTGAATGGTTCCTCTTAACTGACAGCCAGTATCTGATGCCAACCCACGGGCTCCCTTGCCTCTGACTGAGTGGTAC